ACAAATCGCTCTTGATTATACAAAACAACAGCAGTAATTTAAAGAGAAAGCTCCCAATCACCGCTGGAGCAATCCACATCCTGAGTTTAAAAACTGATTATTCCTTGAATTTGCCGTCTCTTGTGATGAGACGTTAAACCAAAGTCCCATATTTTTGTATTTCGCTTCCAGAAACATTATATTTATGGGTTATCTGGTGGGGGGGAGGAGATGGCAATGAAATTGGCCCGGGGGCGGATGCAGCCGGTGAGCCATCAGTTGGACCAGCCTGGACGAGACCATGAGCTCAAAGTCCTGATGTGGGCCTTGAGTCTATAACTTTTTGACCCAGATGTGTGAGTGCTATAAAATGAGCCAGGCTGACACCTATCTTGCAGTTAAGTAGCATTTTTCATTTAGGATAATCTCAAAGTGTTTTGTGGAGATGGAGCGGAAATAAGGGCCACGAGAATGGCCAAAAATTATTTCAAGAAACTGGACTGAAACACGTGGATCCACCAGTCAGAACTCCAGAAAGCCTCCAGAACTCGCTGGGCCCCAACTTCCAAAGAGCCTCCACATCTCCCTCCTCCCCTTAATCTAACAACAGCCAAAGAATGCCGATATAATAATAATATTCCTTGCATTTGATGTGGCGCCTTATCACATCTTTGAGACATCTCAAAGCACTTCACAGAATATACTGGAAAGTGAATTGACTATATATTTTCTGGGCGAACCTCTGTTAAAGAAATAAAACTCTTACTGTGGACATCTTACATACTATATATAAAGTAAACACTGAGGGACTGTTTCCCCTGGTAGGAGAATCTATAACCAGGGGTCACAGTCTTAAAATTAAGGGTCAGCCTTTTAGAACAGAGTTGAGGAAACATTTCTTCACTCAGAGGGTAGTAAATTTATCGAATTCACTTCCCCCAAAAGGCTGTAGATGCTCAGTCCTTGAACATTTTCAAGCCTGAGACTGATAGATTGCTTAAAAAATTGAGGGATTAGGGATATGGGGTTAGGGCAGGTAATTAGAGTTAGGTCAGAAGATCAGCCATGATCTTATCGAATGGCGTGGCAGGCTCCAGGGGCCGAATGGCCTACTCCTGCTCCTAATTCTTATGTTCTTATATATTATACTGAAACTTGAAAAAGCACGAAAATGTTTCAATAAAATATCCTTAAAACCTCCTGGTTTCCCAGATTATCAATACATTTTAGTGTAATATTTGTATTGTATAGACAGGATAATTACTGTTTGAGACAGCCCTTTAGTCCACCCAAATACAACAACAAAATTACATTTGTATAGCACCTTTCACGTCGGGGAGGACGTCCCAAGGCGCTGAACAGACAGAGTTACGTACCCGAGCTGAGGGTTGGGGTGGGGGAGGGTGGAGGGCAGGGGGGGGAAGCAGGTCGAAGAGGACGTCTTGAGGTGGGTCTTGAAGGTAGCGAGGGAGGGGGTGAGACGGAAGACAGAATACAAATGACACAAGAGGGGTTTCTCACCAGATAAGTCGCAGGTCTTATTCTAAGCAGAAGGCGTGCTTTTTTTACACCTCTCAGCATGAAGGGTTGAGGTTGCTGAACAGTAACTGCCTACCGTGTAGCGCTGTAACCACACATTGCTATCTCAGCAGCTTGAGGTAGGTCAGCTGCAATGCTAAGATACCCAGCAATGCAGCCTTGACCCCAGGCTCTGAAAAGTACCTCACAACTGCAGGCAATTCGTAATGTTTGTGTAGATTCACAGCAGTGGCTGAAATGTGTCAAATTCAGGGCAATTTCATGCTGGGGTCTCTCTTCTCTCCTCTAATGGGAAATGAGCGGAGACTACAATAACTCGGGCTGCTCGTGACCCTTAAAAAATATCAGAGGAAACAGCAGATAGTCATTCCCTTTCTGTGCCTTAGATCTGAGTACAGGTTTACCAGAGATCACAGACAGAATTTCTGAACAATGTTTGAATGCACTGTACTGCACAATGTCTTTGGTCAACTCTGCAATAGGTGATTAGTGTGTCAGTGATGTGTTTCGCTCGTTGTGTTCCACAAAATCAAGTCACAAACTAAATGAAGATCTGAGAACAATGGTCCTGGAGTGATGCTTTAACCTGGGAATGAGAGTCACTGACACCTGTAGAGTCTGTTCAGAGTACATGAGGGTAGATACAGTCAATCTTTTTTTTGCAAATACTACCTTTCACAAAGCCCATTCATGTTTTAGAGGTTTTCTTTATCTCTTGTACATTTAAATTGATACCCAAACAGCACAGTATGTTTCCTGCTGACCTTTCTTGGACTTTGACACACAGAGTTCAGAACAAAGTCTATACATCCAACGTAACCTTGGATTACTACCAGCCAGTGGCTTTTTGCAGATGTGTCCCCTTCCAGCTACCCAAGCAGATTGCTGGCCATTTCTGGAACTTTGCAGTGCACTGAATGGTTGCCACATTTTTCCTACAAGTCTCCATCTGACAGGAATGACTATAAAGCATTTTGGGACGTTTTGATGTATAAAGTGCTATAAAAATAGACTTTTATTTTGTTCTCGCTCACAGGTCATTTGGGAAGGGGAGGGGAAAGAGAGAGAAAACGCTATTCACACTGCATTTAAATGACTGACATCTTGATGTGATTTAGGTATTTTACCCCAGGATCGGGGTAAATTGGTAACCAAACAGAGAGAAAGAACACCTATTGGAGAAGAGGGTTATATAATGCAGTTTCAGTTCGCAGACTCCAGAGCAACCTGAAAATCTGCCAATTAGTCAAAAAAAAATGTCTTCAGGCAGAGGGCAGCACTGAAAAAAAAGATTATTTTAATATGGCAATGGGATGCCGGAATCGAACCAACCCTCTGTGGCGGTCTCGGTGGTCCAGTTCCTGTGCCAATAGGGTCTGCCGTATTCTAGGGCACCTCTGATGACAGCACAGCCAGCCTGGCCCATCAGAAGGACTTGGAAGGGCAGAGCAGTCACTGGGGTAGGGAATCCTCCCACTCAATTCCTGTTAGCCCTGCAGGCCAAAGCACTTACGAGTAGGGTGGTCCTAGCTGGACAAGCAGTCCAAAGCTTGCCAGACAGCAATATCAATGACATGCTATGTGGTTTTTGCTGGTTAGACTCCAGCAATACCCCAAAGCACACTCTGGCGTCCCCAAGCCTTGGCTCTTGCCAGTCTGAGCAGAATACTTTCTGGAATTAGTTAAACAGGATGAGTCCCTCCAAGGCGAGGAGTGCACATGCCAACAAATAATCTCTGAAATGTCCATGTGTAGGTGGGATGCATGGAAATCTCAGTTTGGTTTGAATACTTTTAAGTATGGTGATGGTTTACGCATGTGTCAGACACCCAGCTGAGCAAAAAAAGAGTTTGTGTAGAGAGAGAAAATCCCTGTTATAGCACCTTTCAATGCAACTCTTTCTCACTTATAATACACATCTACTCTGGACTCACTGCTAATCCCACTTCCTGTACAATGAGCAACTGAAACGCTATTGCAACTAAAACGACTTCCTGTGCACCACTTTGAATCAAAGGTATTTGAATCCCAAGCATTGTAGCGGTGGGGGCGGGGGGGGATTTACGCACAAGGTGGCAGAGGATCATAAGCAGGTGCTAAGGGCATGTTTTACATGTTGATTGTGTTTCTACCACTTTCCTTTTCACACTTGATCAAACCTAAATCATCACTGTTAGCAAATAAATACAGTTATTATTCTATGCTCATACCAGGCAAAATTGTTTAACAATTCAGCCTCTTATTCTGTCTTGAGGCAAGAGTTGCCAACGTAAGTACATTAGAAAGCATGAAAGGAGAAAAGACCATAAATAAAGCTCATGCAATGATTTACAAAGAGTGTACAGCACAGAAACAGGCCACTCGGCTCAACCAGTCCGTGCTGGTGTTTATACTTTACACAAGTCTCCACCCATTACCTTACTCCCTCCCATAACCTTCTAGTCCCCTCTTCCCAACGTGAAGGTCTAACTTCCTCTTGAATGCATCTAAACTATCTGATTCAACTATCGCTTTTGGCAGTGAGTTTACAATCTCACCACCCTTTGGATGAAGCAATGCCTCCTAAATTCTCTTTTAGATCCCCTAATCACTATCTTATATTTGTGTCCCCTGGTTACGGACTCCCCAACCAGTGGAAACAATCTATCTATACTCACCTCATCAATTTCAAAAATAATTTTAAACACCTCTATTAACTCCCCCCCTTAGACATCTTTTCTCTAGTGAAAAAAGGCTTAACTTATCTAGTCTATTCTGATAGAGGTAAGTTGCTAGCCCTGGTATCATCCTAGCAAACCTACACTGTACTCTTTCCATTTGCCACTATCTCCTTCTTATAATGTGGAGATCAGCATTGGACACAATACTCACAATGTGGTCTAACCAAGATTTTGTATAAATTTAACATCACCTCTTCATTTTTAGATTATGACCTTCTGGATATAAATCCGGAGACCCCATTGGCCTTTTTTATAGCCTTATCTACCTAATGCCTTCTACATAGTTCACAAATTCTACTTCATTGTGGGGTCCACTCTCCATCCACTGCTGTAATCTATATAAAACTCCACAATAGTCTTTCATAACCTTTGACAAATAGAACATCTTTGTCAGGCGGCAGATTTCAACTCATTAATTGGGTGGTGAAAGATGGAGAGTGAGAGTGAGTCAGAGAGCTAAAAGGCGAGGGAGAACGTGACAGAGATAAAGAATGTGAAGGAGAGTGAGAGTAGAGTGAGAGAATGAATGAAAGAGCAAGAGGGTGAGGGTGAAGGATAGGAAAAGTGAGGTAGAGTGTGAGAGTGTGAAGGAGAGTCAGAGGGAAAGGGAAAACAGCAGTGCAATCTATACTAGAAAGGGAAATTGAGACAGAATCTCAGAGAGACACACACACACACACACAGGCAGACAGAAAGGCAGAGAGACAGACACATGCAGACAGACCGTGAAATGCATTCAGCCCAGGTGCAGATTCAGCTCACCCATCTCACTGAAACATTCTTCTCTGCCACGCCTTACAACTGCCAGATACCTGATACCATCTCAAATGCAAACTGCACAGTACAGACAGCTCACAGTTTGTACAGCCCTGTAGTTGTGTGCCAAAGAATTCCCAACAAAAATGCAAAAATAAAACCCGCCAGAATTCAGAGACAATTTGTGATATCATTGTCAGGGCTCAACGCTGACAACAAGGTGACACGATGCCCCACACAAGTGACGCATTCCAGATCTGCCTCGTGGCTCATTGCTCACAAGTTAAGGTCACCTTGACCTGTGAGATAAGACGGCATCTTTTCTGTCAAGGATCTGCTATTTCAACTTGCCCGACCTGATAAGACAAAAATTCAAAAACAATGTAATCTTTTTTCCTTAATTCTTACAAAATGAAATGCCTAAGTTCGAGATGGTTTGTACAATGAGCGCCACTGTATTGCTGTTTGGTGACCTTGGATTAATACAGTTGTATTGTGCCCTTGGCATCATGTGCCGGATACAGTGTTAGTTTCAGCAGAAAACAGCCTTGATCCACTGAAGTGAAGATGGGAACTGGCTGCAGAACCCCTTCTCTTTGCCCTCTTTCCTCAATTACATGCTGACCCCTCTTTCTATGTCCGCTTTAGCCCTTCCTCACCCCCCCACCCCCCCTCCCACATCACACACACATTCCACACACCCATCATTATCTCTGTCCACTCTCAGCTTGCCTTCACTCACATTTTCTCTATCCCTCCCTCATGCCCACTCTTCACCAGACTTCTCAGGCTCCCTTATTCCCTATTTTCTCTCTCGCTGAGGTTGCGACTCTCTCTCCAAGCTCATTGCTAATCTCCGTCACCAGAGGAAGAAATGTAGGGGGGAAAATTGCAGCACTTGATGTGATAATTATCATCATCATTACCACCACCAGTGAAAATTAGCACATAATGGAGATTTCCACTCATCAATGTGGGGGGGGGGGGGGAATTGACGGATAGGGAGCAATGAGTTCACAACACTCATGACTATAGTTGATGCCAAAGGCCCATGCGGTGCACCGCCTTTCAGTGCCACTTTCCGGGATGGCCAACTTAACTCAAGTTTCAAGTGTATGATGTATTTTTGATTCCTATATTTTCTTAGTAATATGCTCCACCCACCCCCCAAAAAAATAAAAACAAAACCCAGAAACCTCACAAGGAAAGGACGTATCCAGAGAGAGAAGTAGCCATTTCCCATTTAACCAGAAGACACAGTGGAGTCCCACAGTCTGTAACAAAGCTCTAAGAAAATGAACGGACAAAATCGGCGCTGCTAAGCCAAGTGTTAATAGCAGTAGGTATATACACTTCAAGAGACACATGACAGCAAATTCCCTTCTATTGGAGTTGAGGAATGAGTTTGACTATGTTGTACGCAAATTTAGTTGCTGCTACATGTATGTTGGTGAAAGGCTCACAATGAGTTTTGGGGTCAGCCTGGCGCTGGAGAGTGGTCCTCCCAACGTCAAGCTGTCATGCTGGCCTTGATAGAAGTTAGTGTGGGCACCATTTTTCCACCTCTCTAGCTTTTACAATCATGCATTGAGCAGGTTTGATGTCAGTGTATTGTTTGGTGTAAATGGTTGAAATATACAGAGTTTGTAACCATACTAATTTAGAATACGATACAACCTTAGATTTATATAGTGCCTTTAACATAGGGAGGATGTCCAAAGGTGTTTAACAAATACTGATTTGGCGCCCAAGCTGGGTTTGAGTTCAAGGGGGGGTTGGGTTTGAAGGGGTAGGGAGGGGAAAGATAGGGACTGAAAATGCAGTCAAAGACGTACATCTCGAGACTGTACCTTGAATGGAGGTGAGGGAAGGAGTGAAACGGAGGGAGTTCCAGAGAGCAGGGGCAGAAAGGTTGAAGGCTCATCCATCGATTGTAGGGTAGATTGGGCGTAGGACGCGAAGCAGGCTGGTGTGTGCTGAATCAATGGTGCAGCCGAGTATCTTTCAATGCCAGACATATTAACCCAGTATGTCAAACTGGTTATTTAACACTGGACATTTCACTTCAATGCATCCAAAAAAAAACTTTTCAAAATTATAAATTTATATTGGCGGACATTAACAGCAGTGCAACAGTATCTATCTGTGGTTATCTATCCCTGTAAGCAGACAGATCAAGTGTCTTGTGAGACTTCAGAGAGCTGGGACTCAACATTCTCATTTATCAACAGCAAAGACTGGCAACAGGCACTGTAAGATTAAAAGTCATCACATCAAACTTCAGTTTGTTTGCTTCAACATCGCTGCTGGCACCAGATCCCGCTGCCTGGAACCCCCAGACTGTTGCTTTGGTGTGCTGCTAGCAAACCCTTGCCAAAATACACAGCAATTTACAAGACTATTTCCCATTTATTTCAAGAGGATGCAGATTAAATTCATTTTAAATGCAGCCATTGCAAGCTGCCTGTGGATTTTTCAGTGTATGGGCTGTAGGTTCTTGTACTGTATACAGCAAAGAGCAGCTGCTGGAAACATGTGGCACTGAGATTAAGGCAGGACTAGACTCCACTTCCCATTCAGAGGAACAGGAAGCTGTCCTGTCAGACCTATGAATGATGTAAAGAAACAAGTCCCGAAAATAACTTGAAAAGATTATACTGTATTGAGTACTTTATACATGGAGTTAGAAAGAAAGCCTTCGTCTGAGATCTCCCAAATCTATAATAATAATCCTTTAATTTGATGTAGGGCATTATCACATCATTGGGATGTCTCAAAGTGCTTCACAGAATAAATTGTAAAGTGAATTGACTGTGTATTTTGTGGGTGAAACAGTAATATAGTATAATATAGTAAGGATGAGATGATCTGGACACCCAAACAGCTTCATCAAAACAGTAAGCATGAATACAATTAAGGTACAGAGAATCAGGTGGGTTCTGCTCAAAGAAAATAATATAAAACATCCTGCACCTTTGTGCCTACAGTTATTTGATCAGATAATGGTAAAACCAAAGCTTATGCTGCACAGTCATTTATCAAAAGAAAAATGTAATGGGAATTGTAATATGGCCAAGTGCATCAGTCCAGAATGAGTCAACCAGATTTAGTTTGGCTTTGCTCAACACAATTTATTGGTGTGAAAAGGTGGCGAAAGTCTCCAAGTTTGCAACAGCAACAATAATTTGCGCTTGTATAACAACTTTCACACAGGATAAAGGGGGTCTAAATTGTGAGATTTGTGAAATGATCTGTAAACAATGAATGTGAAATGGCAATCTCTGGCCAGGCTCAATGTAATCTAAAAGCCTAAATGGAGATTGATATCCAAGTAGAGTTTGAGAATGAAACATTTGGGTGTGAGCAGTATGTACTATTTACTAATTAATCCTTTTAGGTATCTCACAATTTGGACAACTGACACAGAAGTAAAGGCAACTAAATGGCTCAATCAATTGTCAAGTCTGATGTAAATAAAACTTTTTTTTGGGGCAAGTTTTCTGCCAGGATTTTTTTTTTTTAAATTGCTTTCCCTTCCAACCCAAGCTTGACGGCAGAGATCCGGAGTTACATGAAAGTCAGTCAGCCACTGGTACCTCAACCAAATAATCATTTCTATGGTTTTACCCTTCGTGGACCAGGTCAAGCTGATTCAACCTCTGTGCATAAAAAACAGTTGCAAATGTTAAATCCAACTTGTTTCACCTCAATTGTACTGAGATGTATTTTCTGACAAAGTCACACACTTGCAACTTGGATGAACATAAATGAACAAAGTCATTGTCATGCCATCTGGTGAACAAGGCAACAATTTGCCCTACTGAAGAGACAAATTCCAATTATTGGGTTAACCAGAAAGTTTTCATAAAGAGTTTTATGAAAGTTTTCATAAAGAAAACTTATTTTTTAAATAATCACAAGAGTGAAAGGGAAGCTTGGTAGAATTTTTTCACAGAGTTATTGGGATGTGCAATGCCCTGCGAAGGAAGGTAGCAGTCATATACATTGTAGGTTTCAAGAGGGAAGTACACAGGTATACGAAAGATCGAGGTTAGGAAGAGTACGGGGATAAGGAAGGACAGTAGAATTGAATGAACAGATTGTTCTGAACGCAATTGCAGACTCAAAGAGCTGAATTGCAATCGTTCCGCACAGAATTCCTTCTGTGGTATAAATTCGCATGATTCTAAGAATGTAAGTAATAGAAGTCAGAATAGTTCCTGGATTAGGATTACTCTGCTCTTTATTAAACAATACAGTTTTTGGAGCACATTGGAAAACCAGTATACTCCCTAGGCATCTAAAAACATCCAATGTGGGTGCACCCACTTGTGGTCGTGTACATCTATTGTACTGAAGTTGTTATCTTTAATTTCACAAATACTGGTGCAGGACTTTTGTACCATGTTAAACACTTTTTAAACTTACTCAGTGATTGACAGAGTTGAGGGGGAGAAAAATCACACTAATCAGCTCATTATGAGCTGGTCTTTTCACACTTGCTTACTTAAATTACATCCTTAGATTTCAGAAATGGAGCTGGTTGGTATATACATTCATATTAGCATTGAATATTCCCGAATTACCCCTCCCTTTCTTTTACAAATCCATAAATACGAAACACATGCTATTTCCTGTAACTATTTTCATCCCCTACCCCATTTTCTGGATGTGCACACACACACACACACACACAAACACCAACATTCACATACAAACATTCAAAAAAAATTCACACAGAACTCAAAAACACACACAAATAAACACATATAGAAAAATACACAGTTCATGAGACAAATGCCTGTTATTATTTTAAATTTTAATATAAAATGCCTTTCCTCATGGTTTTCAACCTATTTTTGATTTCAGAGTTACAGTGTCAGGTGGAGAAATGTGGTACAAAAGAGAAAATGCTGGAAATGTATAGCAGAACAGTCGGTAGATGAAAGAGAAAGTCAGACTTGAAATGCTGAGCCTCCGTCTCTCTCTTGCTCCCTCTCCCAGATGCTCATCCACCTGCTACGCATTTCAAGCATTTTCTGGTTTGCATTC